AAAAAAAAAAAAAAAAAAAAAAAAAAAAAAAAAAAAAAACAAAAAAAAAAAAAAACAGCGGGGGGGGGGGGGGGGAGGAGAAGAAGACATAACAACTACAATTCCTTGAAGTTGACACGACAAGCAAACAGAAAGGACATTGTTGGGTGGGAGGGGGAGTGGGAGGAGGAGGGAGGGAGGTTTTGGTAATGGGCCACAATAATCAACCACATTGTATATTGACAAAATAAAATTTAAAAAAAAATTCTCCACCTTTACAACTCTTAAAAAAAAAAAAAAAACATTTGGTTTGATATCCTGTGAAGACCACCTGAGCATTGCACACCATCTCCACCCTCCCACCCCCAACAAAAACCAGGGGTTCACATGCTCCCTAGAACGTCTGTCTACTTAGACTGTTACAGATCCCGTCCTGAGAGCTGGCTTTAATGGTGACGAATGAGGGCATCTCTGCTGATAGAGCTGAGGTCCCTAGCAGATCTAGGTTTATTTATTTATTTTTATTTTTATTTTTTTTAAAAGATGACCGGTAAGGGGATCTTATTAACCCTTGGCTTGGTGTTGTCAGCACCACGCTCAGCCAGTGAGCGAACCAGCCATCCCTATATAGGATCCGAACCTGGGGCCTTGGTGTTATCAGCACCACACTCCCGAGTGAGCCATGGGCCGGCCCGCAGATCTAGGTTTAAATCACGATTCTGCCGTATGTAAAATAGGGATAATACAAACCAATCAATGCTGTTAGGAGCAGTAAATGTAATGAATGCATGAGGGACATTTAGCATGGTCCTAGCCAGATACAGTACATAAAAAGTGCTTTTGAAAAAATGCTATAATATTTTTTAGCAAGCAGGATGTTTATTAAGTAGTGTCCATGGGAGCACTACTTGTAGAAACAAGGGGAAAGAAGCAGGAGTGTGCAGAGGAAGGAATTAAGCTGAGATTCAGGTCCAATGACAGCTGTGAGCCAATACCCCAGGAACGCTGGACGTAGAATCCTTCAGAATTGTTAGAATTGGGGCCAGCCCGTGGCTCACTCGGGAGAGTGCGGTGCTGATAACACCAAGGCCACGGGTTCGGATCCTATATAGGGATGGCCGGTTGGCTCACTAGCTGAGCGTGGTGTTGACAACACCAAGCCAAGGGTTGAGATCACCTACACACCATATACATGCTTGAAGTTCCCCTGATGACACCAAGGCCACGGGTTCGGATCCTATATAGGGATGGCCGGTTGGCTCACTAGCTGAGCGTGGTGTTGACAACACCAAGCCAAGGGTTGAGATCCCCTTACCGGTCATCTTTAAAAAAAAAAAAAGAATTGTTAGAATTGAGGGTAGATGGCTGGACGCTAAACCTTGCCATCCCCCTTCGGTTATTGGATCTCAGCCACCTTGGGACAGAAACTTGACTTTGGGTGAAGTAGCTTTCTTCCGCAGAGAAAATCCCCAAGTGGCTGACACTTGAAGGCTATCTGCCGTTGCCACTCTCGGAAGCTGAGCAACACACTGTCCAGCACAATAAATAGCTCAGGATAACACAGCTATAAAGAAGCCAGGACTCTCATCCTGACAGTTCGATTCCAAAGCCTGATCAATACTAACCATTAATTATCTATTGCTTTTTTTCAAATACCTATAATTTTGACTGGGATGAGAGGAATGAAGTAGAAAAGCAAGGTGGAGATGTGTAGACAATTTTAGTTTTGCAAATCAATTTAGGACACATGCTCCTCTCTATTTTGAGGGGATGAGGGTGCAGTGGGTCATACAACTGACCCTTGGGGGAAAAAATATGGCATCAACTTTTGTCTTCCCTTTGTTCTTTCTATAGTTTCATTGTCCATCCCCCCATTGGTGCCCCTCCCTGACACCCTCACCTGAGTCAACCCTCCCCAGCATTCCTGACAGGAGCTCAACCCAAATAGACCCCAGAAGTCACCTTGTTCAACTGCTGTCACAAATGGGGAACTCGAGACCCACAGAAGCAGTGATGAGGGGGAGGGTACTTCTTTCTCCTAATACCCGAACTTCCCCCAGCGCTCACCTTCCATGGCTGTCCTTGTGGAAGTCCAATGAAAACCCAAAGTGGCTGCCATTGGGGCCTGTATAGAAGGTGAGCCGCATGGGGTCCAAGTTCAAGGCCCAGGCTAGAGGGGCAGTACCAGGTCCCAAGAGCAGCAGCGCCCACTCCAGAAGCCAGAGAGCATGCAGTGGACACAAAGCTCTGGTCATCTTCCTTCTCTCACAACCTCCTAGGCAAGAATGGGCCAGCTCCTTCCACTTCCCTTCGGTCTCCACCACAGGAAGTCTTTTCTTATCAAACTGGAACCCAAAGCAGTGGGCAGGGCAAAGGGCTCTAGTCCCTGGACCCATATGGTCTCTAGGATTGCCAGGAAGGAGGTGAGGCCGGGGTTGGGGGGCAGCAGGGGAAGACTTATGGCTGAGAGCCATGACTCCTCCCTTTTCCTGAGAGTTTATCACCAAGTCCTGTTGGTTCTGCCTCTCAGCTGTCTCTCGAATTTTCATCCCATCTCTATTACTTCTAGTGGGCTAGTCCAAGCCAACATCGCTTTCTGCTTGAGATAGCTCAGTTATGAACTAGTTGGCCCACACCACACAACTCCACTCTAGCGCACAGTTCTACAGCTCCTCCCTCTCCCATCCAGTTGGCTGCACTGCTGTGTCACTTTGTGACTTGGCCAGAGGTGGGGGAAGGAGTAAGGAAGCTGCTGCTCCCTGATAAGACCTGAGGTTGCCATATCCTTTTGGATAAGGCACTTATCCAACTTCCTCCTTCTAGGGCCTCTGGCAGCCTCGCACAGCAGCTTCCTCACTCCTCCTCCATCTTGAGCCAAGTCTTACCGTAGCCACAGCAGTGCAGCCGGTGCTGAGGAAAGGGTGGTGAATAGATCTTGGCCAAAGGGGAAAGCCGATGGGGATAAAATGGAATCATTCCAGGGTGTTCTGGCTCACAGGCTCTGATATCATGCACCCCTCACGCCTCCCTGGGTGACAGAGCTCTTTCTCAACTATCAAGACTTGATTCTCATTGGGGTCATTGGTCAGGGGAAGCTTCCCCTGGCTCCTCAGGCTGGCAACCTAGGCTAACATACATGGGCACAGCCCTGATCACACTTTTTAGTCATAATCTGTTCACTGGATTGTGTAAATAAATCCCTTGAGAGCAAGGTTCCTTTTGGCAGTCTCAGGGCCTAGCCAAGAGCCCGTGTAGGAGGTATTGCTGAAAGACTGAATGGAAGCATGCACTAAGGATGGAAGATGCAAACACAGAATGACAAAGGAGAAAGAGATGAATTTCAAGCAGAAAGGCAGTCATTTTCTATGGATAAAGAGCAGGAGTGCTAAGTCTTACTGGCATTGTATGCCTTCCCAAAAGAGCAGGTTCTCAGGAAGGAGATTCAAGAAGTCTGCTAGGGGCACAGGAACATAGCCACATCCTCCATTTGATCTCTATTTTCTGATCAAACTTAACCGATGTCTTATCCTACTCAACCACCCTGCGCCATTCTGGACTCCCCTCGGTTCCTCCCTCTTCATACTTCACCTCAGCACACAGCTGAAAGCCTTATCTAAGCTAAAAGCTCCTTGAACTTTAGTCTGGGCCTTCTTCACTGCTGAATTTCCAATGCCAATTTCATGGTCGGCCTGTAATACATTTGTTAGAATGAATACTTAACCCAGTCCTCCACTTACCCTCCATCCTCCCACTGTCCTCAACTGCGTGGTTACTGTATCAGTATTACTAGTATACTCTGTACAGCCCAATATCAACTTATATTTAACTCGAATTTTCAGTAAGTACTTACTCAGTTCAAGGCACTGTGTTGATAAGGGATACAAAGATAACCTTCAAAGATCCTTAATGACCTTGGTTCAGAGGGTGTTAAGACATGAACCCATATAACTGCAGCAGAGGGCAGTAAAGCATGCCTTGAAAAAGACAGAGATTATGAAAGTCGCTTACATCATTTGTTCCTCATAACAACCCTATGCAACAGGTACTACTAAGTCCATTTTATAAACTCAAAAACTGTGGCACAAAAAAGTTTTAGGCAAATTGTCCAAGTTTACAAAGCTAGTGGATAGCAAAACTAGAATTCAAACACAGGTTGCACTTGAACTCTTGTTGCAGTTGCCTCTTATCAGAGAATCAAGGGGGTTTAAAGGAATAACAAGTAAAGAGAGCAGTAAAAGAACACAGAGGTCAAGTAGAGGGAAGGGCAAGTAGTTGACTCAGCATAGTGCCTGAAGGGGTGGAGTGGGGAATGAGGGTGGAAAGGCAGGCTGGGGTCAAATCATTGGGGGTCCTCGAGTGTCATATTAAGAAATTTAAACTTTAATCCATAAGAGATGGAGATACATAAAGATTTCTTAAGTGTGGGAATAAGAGATCCAATGATCAATTGTGCTCCAATTTGCGAGATCACACTGGCTGCCTCTGGATAGATGGAACTGGAAAGACAAGACTTAGGGAAGACCAGATGGGTGGTGACTGCAATCCTCTGGGTTAAAGGTGATGAGGCCTGACTGGAGTACTAATGGAAAGAATAAAAGAGAGGGTAGAAATTACAGAATTACTAACTGGATGTGGGAGGGAGGCGCTAAATATAATTCAAAGCTTTGGTGCCTGGCTGGTACCATTTTGCTAATGGTACAGTGGTACCACCAACTAAAATTAACCACAGGTGGAGTGAGGATCAGGTTTTTGGGGGGAAGGTGGAGGAAGAGCGAGCAAGGGAGTGCTGACACGTCGTTCCCACCCTCCTATCCCATCAGCCAGAGTCCTAGAATCCCTCAATGAATTCAGAGTTCTGTTAAGGCTTCATTTAGTCAACAATGATTGAATTTCTTCTATGTGCCTGGCACTGAGCTAGGTGATGTGCAGGTTAGAGAAATTTTTAAAAATCATTTTTGAATGTTTCCTTGCTAAATCTTGATGCATAATCCTCAGTTAATGGTATTTTACTTTGCTCATATCTTTCCTGAACATATATAATCAAAATGTTTACTATGTACTTAACTCTATGTAAGATATCCTAAGGGGTAAGAAAAAATAAAAAATAAAAAGAATCAGTCCCTGTCCTCTCAGAACTCACACTTTTACTGGGGAGCAATGAATACAAAATAAATTGCACTCAGATTTTGAAAAGCCAGTAAGTTTACATAAGACAGGGAATTAGGTCCCAGGTCAAGGAGATTAGCCAGGAAAATGATGCAATAATTCAGACATAAATTGATAAGGGTAAGATGTATATATATATATATATATATATTTTTTTTTAAAAGATGACCGGTAAGGGGATCTTAACCCTTGACTTGGTGTTGTCAAAGGTATATATATATATATATATATATATATTTTTAAAAGATGACCGGTAAGGGGATCTTAACCCTTGACTTGGTGTTGTCAGCACCACGCTCAGCCAGTGAGCGAACCGGTCATCCCTATATGGGATCCGAACCCGGGGCCTTGGTATTATCAGCACCACACTCTCCCGAGTGAGCCACGGGCCGGCCCATGAGATGAAGGTATCTCTTGCAAATAAGAATGGGAATAGTTGACAAGGCTTGAATTAGTAATTAAGTGTAGATCAAAGAGTACTTCCATGTTTCAAGCAGAGGTGGCTGAGGCCTTATCAGAACCAGGGAGCTGCACGAAACTTCACATAGCACATGGGCCAGTCTGCCTCTTTCACCTTCCAGGCTCTCAGAAAACCACTTTTTAAGGCCAGTCTGTGGCTCACTTGGGAGAGTGTGGTGCTGATAACACCAAGGCCATGGGTTCGGATCCCTATATAGGGATGGCCGTTAGCTCACTTGGGAGAGCGTGATGCTGACAACACCAAGTCAAGGGTTAAGATCACCTTATCGATCATCTTTAAAAAAAAAAAAAAAAAAGGAAAGAAAATCACCTTTTATTTTCTAACATTCTCTCTTTCTAGGAAGGGATCTTTACTATTTTAGGAAAGTAGGCATATCTGAGCACCCACCCCTAGGTTCAAGTTGAATAGCTTCTCTGTAGTCGAGGGGAAAACACAGTTGTATCACAGATGGGAGGAAAGTAGGAATTGCACAACTCCTTGAAAGGGTAAAGAAGAGGGGGAAACTAATTTATCACTTCAAATCTATGGTAGCTTTCCATGTTAAACTTTCCCTATCTTTTGTGATTTTTTGATATGGAAGAGTAGGGGTTTTTATTTCCTCAGTAACAATTAGGGCATATTTCCTTATACCAGGTAGATGCACTCAAACATTGCAGTGGTATTAAAGGGTAGAAGAGAGTAATTCGAGCCTGGTATACAGAACCCAGATGGAGGGCAAAGGCCAGGCAGATGACTCCTGTAATCTCACTGCCCTTAAATTAATCCAAAATCCTAAAAATCAAAGCCAGAAATTCCAAAGCAATTTAGTGAGCACCTACATGCCATATATTTTACTACACGCAGATTATACATCTAAAATTTAAGAAAAGAGAATACAAGAAAATTCTTGAGGGAAAGGAGTGGAAAGGAGGTGCACATTCCACATTCCAAGACATCTACCTAAGACTGAGAGAAAAAAAAATTTTTTTAAAAGATGACTGGTAAGGGGATCCCAACCCTTGTCTTGGTGTTGTCAGCACCACGCTCTCCCAAGTGAGCTAATGGGCCATTCCTATATAGGGATCTGAACCCGTGGCCTTGGTGTTATCAGCACCACACTCTCCCAAGTGAGCCTCGGGCCGGCCCAGACTGAGAGAAATTTTACCATTACTTCCTCCCACAGCCATAATCTTTCCCCTTCCTTGGGCAGCCTGAGCTTTCAGAAGCACAATTCCCAACATCTCAAACTGGCTCACAAGAATCTATTCCTTGATAACTTCAAACAAGATGTTATTTGTAACCCAAAACTCCAACCCTTCCCAACTTGAGTGGATGGGGCAGCAATCAAGACAGACTCTGTTAAGTTTCCACAAATCATTGGTTTATTAGAAAGTTCCTTTCCCTCATTTTACAGCATATATATCTCTATCATATGTGATAAAGTTAAATACAATCTGTTATGCCTGTAAGCAAGGATAGGTTATTTTGTTTTCCTTTTTTTTGTTGTTGTTTTAAAATTACTATTCTGGAAGTTAAAGAAAACTGCCCCCAGGAAGGCAGAGAGGTGGCCAGAGTATGGCTCAATCTACAAACTAATGGGAAGCAGCACAAAAATGTTAATACTGTATTATTTAAGTATTTACATGGGCTGAAAG